AAGCAGAAAATTTAAGTTTTTTTTATTAGGAAGCAAGTAGGAAAGTGTAGAATATCAAGATTAAGTAAAATGGAATAATACTAACCCCTAAACTGTGATAGTCAAAGTCTAACTATATGACATTAGGAAACTATCTTGAAACCGCGGTGAAATATTATTTAGTTTTCAACCGATTTAAATGAAACTTGAAAAAATATATATAAGGATGACCCGTATTTATAATGACTTTGAAAAAATCGAAATTAACCCTTAAATGTAGATATATTTTTATAACTAAACGAAAGGAGCTAGGGCAACAAGGATCACTTTAATTTCCCACCAAAAATCTATTATTTGGGTCAAAACATAAAAGTCCATTTTCTGGCTAAACGAAAGGAGCCAGGGCAAAAAGGAAGGAAATCTGTGATCACTTTAATTTCCCACCAAAAAAACATAAAAGTCTATTTTCTGGCTAAACGAAAGGAGCTAGGGCAAAAAGGAAGGAAATTTGTGATCACCTTAATTTCCCTCCAAAAATCGATTATTTGAGTGAAAACAAAAAAGTCTATTTTCTGGCTAAACGAAAGGAGCTCGGGCAACAAGGATCACTTTAATTTCCCACCAAAAGTCGATTATTTTAGTCAAAACATAAAAGTTCATTTTCTGGCTGAACGAAAGGAGCTAGGGCAAAAAGGAAGGAAATCTGTGATCAAATTAATTTCCCACCAAAAATCGATTATTTGAGTGACAACATAAAAGTCTATTTTCTGGCTAAACAAAAGGAGCTAGGGCAAAAAGGAAGGAAATCCGTGATCGCTTTAATTTCCCACCAAAAATCTATTATTTTAGAGAAAACATAAAAGTCCATTTTCTGACTAAAGGAAAGGGGCTAGGGCAAAAAAGAAGGAAATCAGTGATCACTTTAATTTCCCACCAAAAAGTTATTATTTGAGAGAAAACATAAAAGTCCATTTTCTGGCTAAACGAAATGAGCTAGGGCAAAAAGGAAGGAAATCTGTGATCACTTTAATTTCCCTCCAAAAATCGATTATTTGAGTCAAAACATAAAAGTTCATTTTCTGGCTAAACGAAAGGAGCTAGGGCAAAAAGGAAGGAAATCTGTGATCACTTTAATTTCCCACCAAAAATCTATTATTTGAGTCATAAAATAAAAGTCCATTTTCTGGCTAAACGAAAGGAGCTAGGGCAAAAAGGAAGGAAATCTGTGATCACTTAAATTTCCCACCAAAAATCGATTATTTGAGAGAAAACATAAAAGTCTATTTTCTGGCTAAACGAAAGGCGCCTGGGTAAAAAGGAAGGAAATCTGTGATCACTTTAATTTCCTACCAAAAATCGATTATTTGAGTGAAAACATAAAAGTGCATTTTCTGGCTAAACGAAAGGCGCTAGGGCAAAAAGGAAGAAAGTCTGTGATCGCTTTGATTTCCCAACAAAAGTTCATTATTTTGACGAGAATCTGTGATCACTTTAATTTCCCACAAAAAATCGATTAATTGAGCGAAAACATAACAGTGAAGTTTCTGGCGAAACTAAAGGCGCTAGGACATAGCTAATAGGTAATATTATTCGAACTAACTTCAGTTCCTAATGAATTCATCAATGCGCAACATACTATGTCCTGCAGGGGTTTTAGATGTTATATATACGAATGCTTATACTTACGCTTGTGTATGTATGTACGTGAGATTGTTTGAATAACTATTGTAATTTTTTGAAACTTTTGTTTTAAAATTATTCTTTTTGTGGCCTTTTAACTTGTAGACCTCTTAATGTTTAAATCCATATAAAGAAACATTAAAATATATTGTACCATATGTGTGTATAAAATTTGTATTTTATATATGTTTCGGTTTATGTGTTTAAAAATATGTTGTTTTACGTATGTAAATATGTAAAACATATCTTTTAAGAGGATTTTAAATGTTTAACACAAACTATGCAAAACATTTAACATACAATCACTCATACCAAACATAAACTATATTTCATTTTAATAAAATAATATTTATAAGTAAAAAAACGAGTTGCATAAAGAAAAATAATTAAGATTATGAGTTTTCCCAAAAATGAAAGGGTAACATTTATATTAAAAAAGTAAATAGGGGAGAAATGAAGAATAAAATATTAAAAGAAGAAATACAAGACGTTTGAATGAACAATAAGTAGATTAAAAAAAAATAAAGCAGAAAATTTAAGTTTTTTTTATTAGGAAGCAAGTAGGAAAGTGTAGAATATCAAGATTAAGTAAAATGGAATAATACTAACCCCTAAACTGTGATAGTCAAAGTCTAACTATATGACATTAGGAAACTATCTTGAAACCGCGGTGAAATATTATTTAGTTTTCAACCGATTTAAATGAAACTTGAAAAAATATATATAAGGATGACCCGTATTTATAATGACTTTGAAAAAATCGAAATTAACCCTTAAATGTAGATATATTTTTATAACTAAATATGCAAAACCCGACATCAGATTCGATTTCAGATTCAGCTTTTAAAAATATATGAAAGCAAGTCACATGGATTTTTCCAAATCTTCATTTCGTTGGCCTGTGTTCCGACTGTTCATTATTATATATAATTTTCTACAATTTATTATTGTATAAACAATTTTAAGAAAATTTTGGGTCTTAAATTTTCAAATATTTTATTCGCGTTTATATACGAGAATATAAACGATTTTATAGGCGAGTTTGAAGATGTGACTATTAACTGCTTCATAAATTAGTTTATAATCGATTACAGATTACTGACAAGTTTATGGATCAGATTTCAGACGAGACTACAAACAAATCTGTACACTGAAAATAATCCATGCTTAACTTTACGAAAAAAAATTTCATAACTACTTTTTTCGTAATATATACGAAAATTTCGTGTATAATACGAAATATTGTTTAATCAACCCCTTTTCTAATTTTACGAAAGTACGAAAACCTGTCGTAATATCTTTTTTCGTATATATTAAGAAACTTTGTTTTCTTTTACAAAAATAATTTCGTTAAGGCATGTAATATTTAACGAAAGTAACGAATTTTTTTCGTAACAAGATTATTTAGTGATATACAAGAATTATTTTTCATTTCACAAAAAAATTATTGTTTTTTTTTTTTTTTTTATTTTCGTAATTTTAAGGGAGTTAAATTAAACGTAATTTTTAATTTACAGGAAATTAGCTGCCTAATTTCCTGTAAAATTTTTTATGTTTTTTTAAAAAACATAAAAAATTTGTTTTTTTAATTCGCAATCTTTTTCTAAATTTACAATAATTATTTTAAAAGAACTAAAATATTTATGTCTTTAAAAAAATCGTAAAATGAATAAATTTTTTTTCTAAAATTATATAAAATTATTTTGCATTTTACTAAAATATTTCGTACATGGTGCGAAACCACGAAGCATTTCGTACAATGTACAACATTTTTCGTGTATATTAGGCATGTATTATTTTCAGTGTAGACTAATCTAGAGACTAGATAGCTCAGACTTTGGATAAAATCATAGTCAAGTTTACAGAGGATCATACTGTAAGCAAGGGTTTTGAGATTAGTTTTCAGATAAGACTATAAACGAGTTTATAAATTAACCTATTAACAAGTTCATATATTAGACTTTAGACGAGTTTATGTATGAGATAATAGTTTCAACTTTATATCTGAGTCTACAAATGAATACGTTAGAATTTAGACGAGTTTATAAATAATATATACAACTTTATGAGAGCTCATATACGGTACTGCAACTAACTAGACGACAGAATATATAGAGAATTTCGACGAGTTTATAGACGATACTACAGATAAGTTTAAAGATTAAATTTTTAATGAGTTTATAGTTTATAGATTCAACTTTAGTGGAGTTTTAGACGAGACCAACTACGAATTAATAAAAGAGTTTATGAACAAGTCTATATACGAGATTATAAATTGGAATTTAGACAGGACTTTCATTCGAAGTTTACAGTGGTATCGTAAATAAACAAATTAAAAAACTAACAAAAATACTTACCCCCCTTATTTTGTAAAACACTTCACCTTGCGTTGAAAATATTTTCATACAAATTTTTTAAAATACAAAAACAATTTATATGAAAAATTAAGTGAAGTAAGGGGAAGGGATTTACAAAATAACCCCCTTAATTTATTACAAAAAAAACAATTTTTATATGAAAAACTTTAAAATACGTTCAATAAAAAAATGGGAAAAAAACCAGAACATTTAAATTTTTTATCAAGAATCGATTTTTATGAAAAAAATCATTAAATACATAAATAATAAAAATCTTTGATGACTTTGATCTTCTTTTCTGGTTTAAAAAATCTCTATTAAAAGAAAAACAATTAAGTGCAACAGAATATTTGTTCATGTAATATTTATTTCATCAATTAACTATTTTTGTTTGGTTTATAATAATTATAATATTTATTATTTTATTTAGTTTTTAATGTATGTTATTATATAATATGTATAGTATGTATATCATTTTTATTGGTTTAATATATATATTTTTTATTTAGATTTTTTTTTTACTTAATTTCAGTTTTAATACTATGTATAACATATGCCTTGCTTTATTTAAGTAATTTAATATTATTTTATTTATTTTCACCTTCAATAAATTTAACACATGCTGAAATCAATATTTATTAATGACTGCTTTTAGTTTTTTTTTTCTAAATATTCATATTTTATACAATTATTTCTCAGAAAACGTTTTTTTTTTTTCATTTATTTTTAATAATGTAAGGAATGTCTAGTTGTATAATGAGTTTGAAAGTACTATAGAGAACATTTGAAAGATGTTTGGTTTTACAAATAATTATAAATTAAAAGAAAATTTTCTTTATTAACATTATATTTAAATTCGTTTTACAGTTAATAACATGTAAGTTAAATAATATTAATTATGTATGTATGTAATTTTCAATTCTTTGCAAATTATAACAAATTATTTTAATAAACAATACATTTACAATATCAATTACACATTTAAATTTTCAAGAATTTTTTTTTTAATGTTGAATTATTTAGTTCAAAGACTAAGGAGGTGTAATCGTACATTGAGAAGTGTTAGGAGATTTTACTAATTGGGTTGTATGTTATGATTTAAGGTTTCTTTGGTTAATATCATTATGTTTTACTTTTAAATAATGTTCAATTTTTCTTTTTTACTAATTATTTTTGTTATATGTTTGCTGTTAGTTGATTTAGAATGAAAAATGTAAGATAAAGTGGTAGGAAAAAATAAAGAATTATAGATTTATTAAATCTAGAAGGTTTTTCCAAAAACAATAATAAATATATAAACTAGACTAGGTTATATATAGAGTTTTTAAACGAGGCTTTAGACGAATTTTGTTGACGGCGCTTTAAATAAGCTTATAAACTGTACTATAAAAGAGGTCTTAGACTAGATTATAGACGAGTTTATAGAGTAAACTATATACAAGACTATACATAGAGGGGGAAAAAATATACACCCCTGGTACCAAAGTTAACAAACGTGGTAATCTCACAATCCGTTGTCAATAGTGAGCTTACCACGTTTGTTAACTTTTAGACAACGGATGTGTATAAATTTAGATTTCTACAACGAATTGTTGCAATGTTGTGAAATGTTTGTGAAAATTTTGTTGTCAATTAGGTGTATGATTTTTTCCCTCTGTTTACGCGATAATATTGGCAAGATTATAGTTTATAGGTTAAACTACATAACATTTCATAGACGGATTAAACTATAAAGTTCTAGCATTCATTGAATAAACTATAGACGAGACTACAGACGAGTTTATAGACGAATCTACTGACAAAATATGAGATTATAGACTAGACTGTAGACGCATTTATAGATTACAATTTAGAAGAGTTTATGGACTAACCTATAAATGATACTGTATATGATACTATTGGCGAGACTATATAATAGTTCATCATCCAGACTATAGATCAAACTACAGATGAGACTATAGACGAGTTTATAAACTAGTTTTATAACAAAACTATAGGTTATAATCGACAATAGAAGAAACTATAAACGAGATTATGCACGAGACTTTAATTAATTTATAGGCGAAACTATATAGTATACGTGTTTATAGTCTAAAATAGAAACGAGTTTATAACCAAAACATTAGACTATAGATAAAACTATAGACGATTTCTCGAGTTCATAATATAGACTAGTTTATAGTCGAAACTATAGACAAGTATATAGATGAGACTACATACGACTTTATACTTTATATATGAAACGATATACGATTTCATACACGAAACTATACACGAGTTCATAGTCGGAAGTATAGACAAGTATATAGGCGAGTCCATATACGACTTTATACCCCAATAAAAAGAGTTTGCTTCACCCACATTTTTCTACCGATCTAAATACATATATTCTAGAGATTAATAAAATTTAAATTTAATAGTATTATTAAAGAACCATCGGAAAATTAATGTAAATTTTTAAGGCGATTAGGTTAAATCATAAACATATTTAAACCGAATTAAACTAAATTTTCGTTGTTAGATTAGGGTCCTTTTAAACCATTATCCTTCCTACCACTTTAAATTACATAATCCTTTCAAAATAATTACATATTTTTTATTTAATTTTAATTAATTTAATTTTCTCAGTAATTTTTTTCCATTTTCTAGTATTTAAAATTGTTTTTTAATTTTTTTTTAAATTTTTATTTATTTATTTCTTCTTTTTTTTAATATAACATTTATTTTTATTAGTATTTTTATATTGCATTTTTTATCAATTGCTTATGTTTAATATTTTGACATTTTGTTCGATTTCGATTTTGAATTGTTTTTCTTTACTCGACATTTTAAAGTAGCAAAGTAATATATGCAGTGTTTTGTTTGATATTTTATGTTTAAACTTTTAATTTCGATTAAATATTTAATTACTTAGATGTAATCTATGTCTGAACGTTTGTATGTTTTATAAAAAAAATGCAATAGTAGTTTTTAGTTAATTTATTTTAAATCATGACTAGATTGAACTCATTTTGTAAAGTAGTGGCAATCACAACCAACTACTTGGTAAAAATTTTACAAATAAACACATTTAATTAAAATATAATTTATTTCAGATATATGTTTGTATGTAGGTATGTGCTTTTTTAAATTTATTTATATGTTTATGTATAATTTATTAATTATTTAACATAGTGTTTTACTAAGGTGTTTTTAACTTTGTTTTTTTCATATATTAATGGATGTAGTTATGTATTTGATGTAAATATGTATGTTTTAGATATATATGTATATAATTTTGTTTTATATCTCGACATAAATATATAATGTTATTGTCAACTAATATATGTTTGTAGATTTAACAATTTGTTTAGTTTAGAAAAATGTAAATAATTTGCCGAAGAGTTGGTTAGAATTTTTTTAAACTGAATATTTTGTTAAGAATTTTATTTAAAATGTTTCTCTAATGTTGATAATATTCATGAGGAAATGGGGGGAGGGGGCTAAAACGAGGGATGAAAATGTTTTAACATTTAACAATTACTTTAGTATAATAATTTGTTCATTTTGTTTTTTTTATTTTGTTAATTTTTTGGAACTTTAGTTTAATATTATTAAGCTTAATTGTAAATTATTTATCAGCTTTCTTTTGTGGTTTAAAGATTTGTTTTAATTTGTTAATTTTTGGTATAATGAACGAGTATATGTTTTTTTCTATTTGGTATATATAATTTTTTCTTTAAATTTTTTTTAAGCAACAAAATACTGTATGATTATTTTTCTTCTATAAATATACTTATAATTCTTTTTTTTTTGGTTTGTGTATAAGTTTTTTTTATATTTCTTTTTAAGTTTTGCTTAAATTTAAATTAACTTAGTTAGAGTCTGAATCTGAGTCACTAGGTGGCGGTACTGGTGAAGCAGCTGGTTTCGCAGCAGGTTCTTCGCGTATAGGTCTAGTTGCGGCCAAATAAGCATTTGTTGATTCTCCATGTGTGGTTTCGATACCAACCCTGAAAAGTATTTAATATTAAATTTTATTAATATTTTAAAAATATAGTATTTATGTATCGGGAAGAGAATATGAAATCAGTCTTTAATAGATTTGAGGGAATCCATAAAATATAACATTTCTATAGTCTAGTCTATAGTCTAGTCTATAGTCTAGTCTATAGTCTAGTCTATAGTCTAGTCTATAGTCTAGTCTATAGTCTAGTCTATAGTCTAGTCTATAGTCTAGTCTATAGTCTAGTCTATAGTCTAGTCTATAGTCTAGTCTATAGTCTAGTCTATAGTCTAGTACTATAGTCTAGTCTATAGTCTAGTCTATAGTCTAGTCTATAGTCTAGTCTATAGTCTAGTCTATAGTCTAGTCTATAGTCTAGTCTATAGTCTAGTCTATAGTCTAGTCTATAGTCTAGTCTATAGTCTAGTCTATAGTCTAGTCTATAGTCTAGTCTATAGTCTAGTCTATAGTCTAGTCTATAGTCTAGTCTATAGTCTAGTCTATAGTCTAGTCTATAGTCTAGTCTATAGTCTAGTCTATAGTCTAGTCTATAGTCTAGTCTATAGTCTAGTCTATAGTCTAGTCTATAGTCTAGTCTATAGTCTAGTCTATAGTCTAGTCTATAGTCTAGTCTATAGTCTAGTCTATAGTCTAGTCTATAGTCTAGTCTATAGTCTAGTCTATAGTCTAGTCTATAGTCTAGTCTATAGTCTAGTCTATAGTCTAGTCTATAGTCTAGTCTATAGTCTAGTCTATAGTCTAGTCTATAGTCTAGTCTATAGTCTAGTCTATAGTCTAGTCTATAGTCTAGTCTATAGTCTAGTCTATAGTCTAGTCTATAGTCTAGTCTATAGTCTAGTCTATAGTCTAGTCTATAGTCTAGTCTATAGTCTAGTCTATAGTCTAGTCTATAGTCTAGTCTATAGTCTAGTCTATAGTCTAGTCTATAGTCTAGTCTATAGTCTAGTCTATAGTCTAGTCTATAGTCTAGTCTATAGTCTAGTCTATAGCCTAGTCTATAGTCTAGTCTATAGTCTAGTCTATAGTCTAGTCTATAGTCTAGTCTATAGTCTAGTCTATAGTCTAGTCTATAGTCTAGTCTATAGTTTCTTCTAGTCTAGTCTATAGTCTAGTATGTAGTCTAGTCTATAGTCTAATCTACAGTCTAGACTATATTTTAGAATCAGCTCAACTATAGAATTGATAGTCTTAGAATGCGGTTATCAGGAACATCTACCTTTGCAATCATTTATAAATAGATGTTTACCGAGAATATAACAATCTGACGTAAAACTACGGAAATATTTATAGTTGAATTGAATCGCTCATACTCTCCATGAGGATAGATTCTAAATTCAAGAAGTGATATTTATTGAAACAAGATGGGGTTGATCAAGTTGAGAAAAATTTTAAACGAAGAGGGAAGTACACTATTTTTCTGAAAGATAGATCGGGGAACAAAAATCTATTTCTGAAATTTGTCAAACATCCCCAAAATCTTGAGACACGGGTAAAAATCCGGTTTTTCGTACCTTTAAGGAGTAACATACTCAACGGATTTAGAAAGCAGACGGCCTTTGTAATGATATTTAATTACCCTAAAGAAATATTTGTGAATTTCATCGGCAAACATATTTTCGATTTTGGTTCTTCACCGTTTTCCAAGTTTGGAGATGTTTTCACAAAGTATTCCTTATAGGAACCGTACTATTTATTAATGCATTAGGAATTTACATATGTCTGCTAATGCGTAAAACTCTTTTTAAAATCCATTAGCAATTGACGTCGTTATTGATATTGGTATCTTGCATAATCTCTAAAAAACTTACCGATATTCGTGTCTCGCCAAATATCTAACATATTTTTCTGGAGGTTCATCGGAATCCGAATCTTGTACACTGACCGAACGTATTGTTGTATGTGAAACTTGTGTTGCTGGCATGGTGAATTCAACATAAGCATATGGAGCTAATTCACTAGGTATTTGGTCATATGAAGTCAAGGCCATACGACAAACCAGCTGATGGGTTGTATAGGCGCCTATATATTTTTTTTTACATAAAACAATTTAATAAAGACTTAGATAGATATTTAACAAACACTATACCTTGGCCTTCTTTTGGCAAACGTGGACACCGCCAAACAATGGCACGATGATGATGTTCATATTTAGCTTGACCAGATGTTACTTCGATCAGGGATTCTTGTAGAGTGTCAACAGCTCCTAGAATACGTTCAATACCCTTGATTTTACCAGTACGTCTATGGGCTGATTTAACCGAACCGTATCTGTAATAAAATTTAGGTAGACCATTGTAGTAAACACATCAAAGTTTATACATAAGCATATTTTAGTAGCAAGTATTTTACTTTTTATTGACAGAACCATAACTGAAATAAGTAAATTGACGGGATTTATATATTATTTAAATATAAGACTATTTGATTTTCACAGCAAAAACACAACTCACCTAAAATGTTTTTCGACACGAAATAGATAAATCCAACATTCCGGTATGGGGAAACGTACAGAAACATCTTCACATGGTATCTGACCCAATTTGCGTGAGGTAAAGCCGGGTACTAAAATATCTGCACGCAATTCCACTTTATTGCCGGTTACAATCCATTGAGCTTTGAGTTGTAGAGGAAGTTCACGATTTTTAGGCGGTCGTATACGGAAGCGCAGTAATTCTATATAATTAGCATCAGGCGGTTGAAACCTAAAAGGAAACAGGAAATATCACAAAATCGTTATAAAGTTGGTTTTAGCAAAGTTCATTAAAACTTACTTTATAATTCTAGTCTTTTCGTAATCCTCCTGATTCACCACACTATGAAATTCAACTGCTTCCAAACGAATCCACTCTTCAGTAGCCACGGGTATAATATCGTGACGTCCTACAACTTCTTTACCCTGGCGCCACATGTCATTAACACCCAACTCAATATAAGGCATACCTTAAATTTTGATTAAAACAATTATTATAATTATAAAGATATTTGAAACTCCAAACATCCTGCTTACCTGTTAGGAAAGCTAAAAAGAACACTCTCACTCTAGCAATCTGTTTGAGAATCTTTCCTTCTATATCTTGTTCCACATAGATTTCATCCACTGCTGTTACTTGCACTTCTTCCATTTTGTAGGTTAGGGCTCGCTCGCGTAGGGCGGGCAAGTGGAAAAGTGCCTCCTCTATGCATACCGAAAATTGTTTCATGTCTTCATAGTTCATTGAACCAATTTTAAAAAGCTGCGATGATTGTGGTGCATGTTCAACTGGTAGACCTAATTTCTTAAGGTCGCTACCAAACTCCTTGACACCCTCGTAATCTCCGGCTATGGCGTATTGTGCAAATTTGGTGAGTTTGTTTGTAATACGTTCAGCTTTGGTCACTTGGCCAGGTCTCACACCAGGTCGTTCTTTGTAGAAGATGTACTGCAATTTCATAGTGAAAATTTTACCGAATTGATCATACTGCTGAGCACCAATCTCTGAAACTGAATACGAAGGCTGTAAGGGAAGTTCCTGGAAGGGTTGCTTATCGGAAGCTTGATTAAAAAGTTGAACTACTGGTATATCATTTTGCATAACCAAACGAACGAATATCTTTTTCCAGAAACGCTGACCGGTTATCTTCTTTTTATTCGGTTGTCTCAATTGCATTTCCCAGCCGGGACCCACGTAGTTAAGACGTGGGAACTCTTCCAGTGGTTGGGAAACATCTTCATCGAAAAGCGGGGTTTGTGGAGTCTCTTGAGAATCTGTGCGTTTCATAGAACCATCATCCTGTTGAGCTGGTGCTGGAAAACCTGAATCTTCGAATGGATTCACTGCAGGGCTGACATCTTCTGAATACTGTCCAGTTGGAGCGGCACGTGTTGGAGGTGGTGGAGCAAGTTGTGGTGCAATTGCAGTTGCTCCCTCTGTTTTTGGTCGTATAACAACATTAAAGTCTTTTTCCACTGATTCTACGGAATCCGATCGTACTGGAGCCTGCATACTATAAAAATCATCATCTTCGTTGCCAAAACCATCACTAGGATCAGCAAAGGCATCGGCTGCTGAATTAGGAGTACCGAAAGCACTCTCACCCCATGCTGAAAAACAAAACTCCATTTAAGCAATATTTTTAAATAAAGACTTTATTTGTAGACTTACCGTCTCCTGTAGTGGGAGTCACAGCCCCCGATCCAGCTCCTCCACCAAATCCATCTAAAATACTGATGTTATCTTTTTTAACGGATTCAAATTTGGCCGAGAACGCATCAAATTCATCTGGTTCAGCGAAAATGTTTGTGCCATATGCTTGTTGTGGCTCAGCAACGGGATCTGGATCTGCAGCGAATATATTGATAGCAGCAGTGGGTATAACCCCCGTATCAGCACTACTAGAGAATATATTTTCTACTACTGTATCTGCTGTTGATGTGAAAATATTTTCCACCATTGTATCGGCCGTTGATGTAAATATATTTTCTACCACTGTATCTGCTGTTGATGTGAAAATATTCTCCACCATCGTATCCGCTGTACTAGTGAAAATATTTTCTACAACTGTATCTGCTGTTGATGTGAATATATTTTCAGTTACTGTGTCTGCAGTACTTGTGAATATATTTTCTGCCACCGGTTCTGTATCATCAGCATTGAAAATGTTTGTTACCATTTCAGCTGGAGGATATGTTTCCTCCTCCTCATCAGGACTAGCGAACGGATTAGCGGATCCAGCACCACTTGGTGGGGCAAAGTCTAAACCAGTATCCATTTCTTCTACCACAGGCTGCTGCAGTTCAATATCTGCATCACTTGTTACATTATCTGACATACCTTCTACCGGTGAGTCTGGTAAAGCCTGAGTTGTTGCAGCAGATTCAGTTGGAGGACTTTGATCGGATTCTACATTTGAACTCGCCTGTGGAGCTGTGGAAGCATCTGCCTCATCATCTTCTGCCGGAGGATCAGGTTCGGTATCTATTACAACAGCTGGTACTTCATTCTTTGATTCGGGTTGCGGTTCTGGTTCATCTTCATCGTCTGATCGTGGTAAATCTTCTACTGTTGTTATTTCAATGTCTGGTGTTGGAGCTCGTTGTTTATTGGTTGGTTCTTGAACAGCTATTCTATTTTGGTTATTACTATTGTATGTGGCTGATTGTGGTTCCGAGGTGATATTATGGGTGCTTTCGTCTGGTCGAGTTAAGACGGAGTTGAATATTACTGTATCATCTGTCTTTGAGTCGGCTGCTTCAGCTTCTGGCTCAGCTGCTGTAGGATCAAGTACAAGATCATCGCTTAACAAATCGGGTTTGGCCACGGGTTGAGCAGGTTTATCAAAAAGACTTAAAATATCCTCTTTACTCTTAGGTGGTGGAGGTTTTGGTGGTTTGGTGGTACCAAACATGTCAAAGAGATCCTCTGAATCAGCTGGGTTATCTTGCTCTTGTTTTTGTGGTACTGGTGGTGGTGGAGCAGGCGGAGTAGGTCGAGGAGGTGGTTGTTGGCCATGAATGTTTGGTGGCACTGGTCTAGGAGGAGCAGGTCTTGGTGGTGGAGGTCGAGGAGGTTGTTGTTTGGCTGGTGATGGCATCGGTGTTGCTCCTTGAATTGGAGGAATACCTGTGGGTATGCCAAATGGATTATCATTTGCAACCATAGTATTAGGACCACTTCCAATTAAGTCAATATCAAAACCTTGTGTGTTGCCAGAGGAACCACTGTCAGACACATCTAACAAATCGGCTAAACCACTGTCCGGAGTTGGACTGGGCGAGTGTAAGTCTCTCATAGATACAGGACTAGGAGAACGCGTTGCCGGTATGCGCCCTAATAACTCAGAGCTTGTTTCATCCATTTGATTAGAAACTGAATTAATTAGTTCTTGCGTCTTTGGAGGCAATGGTCTAGGTGGAGGAGCCTTTGTTTTATTATCTTCTTCCTCATCTTGAGTTGACTTAATACTTAGAGCATCATCTTCAGCTTCTATTGTTGTACCAAAGAAACTCATAGCTGGATCGATGTCATGTTCTTGATGTTCTGCTTCATCCTCAGCATCATCTCCAAATGCAAAGGGATTAACTGCTGATTCTGAGGCTCCAAAAGGGTTATCCTCATTGGTTTCAGCTGCATCAGCCTGGATTAGGAATGGATTGACTGTTGGATCATCCACTCCATCCATTTCATCATCCATTAAGAAGGGATTCGCCATTTTGTTTTATTCGTATAAGATTTTCTGTTTAAAATTTAATGTTCGATAAGTTCACTTTCTAATAATTTTATTTCCGTTTCTCCTGGTTGTAGATTCTCTGCAATCGATGTATCAAACGGATCTACTTCGACGGGTACAACGATTTGTTTGTGTGGAAATTGAGGTGTTAAGACCTTATCACCTAAACCTAATTCTTGAGCGTCGCTTTGAGTATCTAATACTCCTGTGTGTATATCAGATTTTCTTTCGGGCAATAACTCGCTTTCTAGAAGTTTTAGTTCCGCTTGACCTGGTTGTAAATTAGCTGCTATTGAAGTATCAAAAGGATCTACGTCCTTTTCAGCAGAGTAATCTGGCAAATCTTTACTTTCTTGTGCTGGTGTTAAAACTTTCGTATTAATGTTTTCTTTTACCGCCAATAAATCTTCTGCAGGTACTGGGGTTGGAGGAGCTCTGGGATCAAAATCTGGATCCGATAAGCTGTGTTTTAATGTGGGTTTAGATAAAAGATCGCTTTCTAGATGTTTTAGTTCAACGTCTGTTGGTTTATTTTCCGGCACGTAAGAAGTATCAAAAGGATCTTCTGCTTCTTTTTCGGCAATCGATGAACCTGAGGGAGCGTAATAGGGAGTCAAAGGTTTCTTATTACTTCCTCCCTCAGATGCTCCCAACAAATCTTGGTTGGGAACTAAAAATCCAACTGATTTATTGTTTTGTAAACTAAGACTTAGAGAAGACTTACGTCTAGCTGCGTCAAAATCTTCTTCGATTTTTGGAGTTGAAGCTGGTTGCTCCGTTGGCTGTACTTGCACTTGAGGTTCCGGTTCAGTACTTGACTCTTCTGCTCTTGGATCAAAGTCTGGATCACTTAAAGATTGCTTAAGTGTGGTTTTAGATAGCACTATTACAGCTCCAGCGACTGTAGTATCAAATGGATCAAAATCTTCAGAATCTATGTCAACGTTCAAATGTTTAGCAATTATTTTAACAGCCGTTGGTGGTGGTGGTCTTGCTGGTGGAGCTGATTTTTCTTCTGCTCTGGGATCAAAATCGTCGTCTTCTTCGAGAACAGTGGTTTTCTTAATAACTTGTTCAGCGTAAGAGGTATTGAAAGGATCGTCGTCTTGTTCCTCTTCGTCGTCGCTGATGTAAATAGCACCTTCCACCAAATGGGGACCACTGGTTGGCCTTGGTGGTGGTTTCTTTGAGTTATCTGAAAATTTAACATTATTAAAATTTGAATATTTCTTTTTCATATATATGAAAAGTTTAAACAAACCCTGTTGTTCTTCTGGTAATTGTTCAAATTCCGCCCAGTCGGCTTCACTAAAATCTGTTAAGACTTCCGCTTTGGGAAGAGGGATTTCTGTTATAACTTTGACTTCTTCTTTTTTGTTTAATGATTCAGCAGCTAGTTCAGCAAATTCGTCGTCCTCTGGACTTTTTAGAGTATCAAATTCAGAAAGATCAGGAACACCTGAATTTTCTTGGTTTTCGTTTTCTTCTTCCTCGTCTGAGGCTGGTTTCTTAGGTTGTATAAAACTCAAATGCAATGAAACACTTAAATCTATTGGCGCATCAGGTATTGGTACATCATCGACGAGTTCATCCAAAAGATTTCTTTGAGGCTCTGGTGCTAGTAGATCTTCTTCATCAAGATCACCCTGATCAATACTTTCGCTAAGTAAGAGGTTTTTAATTCCCTTGCGAAGTTTACGCTTAGGTTTGGCAAGTTCAAGCGCTTTTTCGCGCTCTACACGTCCCGAAAGGACTTCTACTGCTGCGCCTAAACTGACAAGCTTCTTATTACCCTTTGCCTTATCTGCTCCAACTATAACTTTTTCGGCGTAAGCAGTATCGAAAGGATCGGGGCCGTCGTCAAAGTCGAGGACGGGTGAGTCTGGAACAACTAATTGTAATTCACCACTGGTAATTGCATCAACATACTCAGTTACAAAAATATCATCAACCTCAGCTTCGTCTTCACCTTCCGATTCGGAAAGTTCGACTACCGCCTCGGCTAGTTTGTCTCGCTGAGCCTCAAGTTCCGCGGCCTTACGTTTCTCTTCCTCTAAACGTTCTGCTTCCCGTTTGGCTGCTTCCTCTTCTTCCTGCTTTTTCTTTTCAGCTGCGGATGGTAGACGCTGATAGAAGGACTCCTTTTTAATGCGATCTAATTCGTCTTGGGTTTTATGAAGGATGGTATCGACTCCAGAAGTTAAAGCTTTAAATTTCGCCCACTCGTCGTCTTCGGTGGCTTTTTGAGAGCCGTTGCCGTTAGCGGCGGCTGATTCGTTAACTGTGGCCGCAGACGATGTTGTATTCGCAGACGCTAACTCAGAGGTCGAAGCAGTATTTGATGTTGTCGCTGTTGGTGCTAAACCTTCAACATCTGATGCTGCATCGGATTCACCAGCATCTGATTTAGCAGCAGCAGCCTCCTGCTTGGCCTTTAGTTGGCGTTTGTACTCTTCAAGTTCTTCTTCGGTAAAAAGTTCTTGATCTTTTTTTGACTTCTTCTTTTTCTTTTTTAAACCTTTTGGTAACTTAAGCATTCTCTAATAGAGGAGACATCGAAAAACGGTCTAAAAATAGCAACACAAAAAGACATACAATTAGACTCACAAAAAATTAATTATACTTTCTAGTTATACAAAAGGAACAACAGGATTGATATAGTATAATGAAGATAATGATGTGTAGTACAGAGAACTGAAAAGCCTTGAAACTTATAATGACGCATACTGAAAGCATGTCACAATCAATTTACAAGAGTGAAGCTAACAATGACGATTTTAACAAAAAGCTAAAGGATGTCAGTAACAACAGAACAAAGGATATTTAAATGGGTTTTTTATTTTTAGCCAACTCACCAAATCACTTGATTACCCTTCAAAAACACAAAATCATAACTTACAATTTGTCTTTCATTTTTTTTTTGCAATACAGCCAATTATTATCGATGTGTGTAACAATTTATGGTTGTTCGAAAAATCAAAATCAAAAAACTCTTCATTGGTTCATCTCTTCTGGAAATTCACCTTGTGGTGTATACATACATCTTCTAAAGAGAAAACATGTGTTTTCAGTTACAACAAAAATAAAAGAAAAAATGTTATCACTTCAATAACCACCACCACCGTTACTTACAACAAAATACATACTACTACTAACTGCTCAAATACCGCTATTTAGCAGATATTAGTAGTATATACAGTTACAAAAAGGAAGAGAGACATTTTATGTTCGAAAAGTACGTAGAAGTTGTCACTCACACACCGAAAAAAAAAAGAGGAAGAAAAATATACACACACTCTCACACACACTTTTTTCGTTGAAGAAAGCAGATACAGGAAAATCTATATTCTTTCACATCAATGGGAAAAATCGATTTTTTCACTTTTAGCTTTCATAAAATTTATAAAGAAGAATTTCATGAAAATTACTTTTATTTAAATGAAAATTAAAAATTTATTGCTAACAATTTTAAATAAAAAAAAATCTAAATTAAAATTATCAATAATTTTCTAAAGTTCAACACTTTTCTTTAAATGCAAAATCAAAGACTTAAAGAATTTTAATATTTTCTTTTTTTTCATTCAAGAAAATTTCTCTAATTTTCTTTTTCTCATAAAAACACCAACATTTATTTATTTTACATCAATTTCTTAATAAAATTTATTGAATTAAACTTACGTCTCTCTTGTAATTAAATTTTAAGTTAAATTATTTTTTATTTAAATTTTTATTTAATTTTTTCTGTATTTTTTTTTTTCGTTCAAACACTCTGATTACGTATCACGTATGAATTATCGGAAAATTCTTAACTGAATGATGAAAATTTTATTGCAAAAGTTTCGTTGTTCAAAAAAAGGGAAGAAAAAGCTTTATTCATATTCGAAAAAGCTTCTTGGGGTAGTTGACGGATGGTTGACCTTAGAAGTTGGTAGTGTCATATGTATGTATGTGTGTTATATAAAACAGATGACAGTTACAAGTTGTTGTTTATTATGGGCATTTGACATTTTACTACCGACTTAGGGTAGTAATGAAGTAAGAAGAGCGTAAAAAAAATATTAAAGTGCCTTTTGACATTTTGCTATTATTTTGTATGTTAGTGCGCATGTGGATTTTGAAATTGAGGGATGTGTCAAATATTTAAATATTATAACCCTTCTTTAGTATTGTTATAATTAACACTTTAGGCGGAATTTTTTAGACGTTAAATTCAAAAAAGATTTTATAAATTTTTGGTTAAAATGTGTACAAATTTGTATTTTTTTTAAGTTTGAAATATCATATTATTTTACACTTAGTTTATTTACTGAAATTTTTCATTGCAGCATTTGATTTTTGAACAACAATCAGCTCCTCAAACAGATTTATTTGAGGCTATGGTGCTAGTATATTTTCTTTCGGTATTTCGATATTTTTGTAACCTTTTTCAACTTTTATTTACAAAATCGATTATTTAATATTTTACATACAAAATAGTCGATTTATGGCGTTAAAAGTAATTTTTCTATGAAATTACTTAATTTCAATTTTGTGGTTTCAAAAGATTATTTTAAAATACATTTCTTTAAATGTACCACTAAAGCAATAAATATTTATTTTTATTTATTTATTTGTCAATAGTTAACCTAACCTATAAAGCAAAAACAGTTATAAATTTCTTTTAAGGAGATATTAAAAAAATCAGCATGTTATCACGCGATTCCGAGAAAAATGTGGAGAATACTCTAGCACTCAAACAGAATAGATAATTTAAATCTCTTATAAAACAAATAAGAGTGCTAGATTTAACTATGCCGAATCCAATATACACTTTTCCATAGTATATTTTAATATTTATACCCTACTCCATTAGGGTAAGTAGGGAGGGTACTATGCGCGTTTGCTGATTTTTGTAATACACAAAAATATTGGTTATACATCCACCTTAAAGTATATAAATCGGATAGGAATCTGTTTCTGAGTAGACTAAACTACATATGTTCGTCCGTCTTTTTATACATGTAAACTTTGTGAGCCCGCTACAGGTACAAGGACTATATAAAATGGTTAAAATCGGTTAATTATTTCACTTAGTCCCCATACAAAAGTAACCACTAAATAGGGCTTTTGGTTTTATAATTATATTAAATGTTCTAGTACCACTTTAAATTTCGACAGAACGTTGTATTATATAAGTCTAAGTGACACTGCCGATTTTCGTAATGATCGAGACTCATTTGATCCTAGACCTCCAACAAATCTCCCTTAGAAAATGACTTGGTGTTCAATAATTCACTTATTAACACTAGTATGACGATGAAATCCATCTACCGAATAGTCTTTCTATTGATATTTCTATATGTTCAATATGTTGCGAAATATTTTAAAAATTCTTGAAAAATAATGACTGAAGACATCTAGGATATTTAAAAAATGAAATGAGGACTTCGCTTAATCGTTACCCTGCCAGCAACTCAACTAACTTTATATGCATTAAAAGCCGACTTTTTCATCAACTACCCAGCGGTAAAAATACACATTATGTACTCGCTTATCTAAGTGATATTTCGTGGCAGTCAGTGGTGATGCTTTCACTTATTCTTCCACTTAGATTTAACATAAAAGTGTCCTAGGCTGCCTCATCGATGTGCTCTCGCTTAGAATGTAAGCCACAGTTTCATTAAGACAAATTAAAATTTCACTTACATAATGTGTGGAGTTCTAAGCGAAGTTAATGAGACGCCTATAAACGCTTGCAAATAAGAATGTAATGTATGTAGATTACAATCCTATTTGCATTTGTTAAAGTACCATGTCTTCCGATGTCTTCCGATTTTGTTATAGAAAAAATATATATTTTTTATATTTATTTTAAACTTATGAAAGTTTATTTAAAAATGATCATCAAATAATAAACATGTATTATAGTTAATTCAATTAAAATATAATTAAACAATTTTAACGAAGATAAATGAAATGAATCTTAATTTTCTTTTGAAACTTTCGGTCATCTTCCTTTAGAGATCCAATAAATAATCAAGAGGAAATTGTCAGTATTAAAACTAGAATATATGAAGTAAATTTACCCCAATTTTTAAGTCCGTTTCTGCCATTTAGATCACCACAATTATTTTAAATTTTTACAAAAAAATAACTTTTTTAACAAAACACAACGTCACTTACAAAAGATCAACTTTAAACTGAAACAAAAATATTATTCTTTTCATGTAGTACCTATACATACAAAAGAAAAATAAAACGGTACTTTAGTTCTGTTTTTTTAAAAGATATAAAAACAAAAAACAACATGAAAAAGGCAGCTAACTCTCTGCTTAAATCGTAATCTATGTTATAATTAAAGTGCATGATATGTTGGATTACGCATGCATTGCACTCTAAGTACTTAGATTGCTCGCTTAGAACGTCATACTGATGTCATCGAATATTATCTAAGTACTTTGTTTCATTTACCGCTGGGTAGTTATGGTTGATTCTTGGATTATTTTCAATGGAGCCAACTGACTATTTTAACATGGCGATGTCCTACGCAGTAGTCAATTGTCCGACTCTGCATGACTTTTCAACTAGCTTAAAGTTAGTTACTAAAAAATTAGCTTAAAGGTAACTCTTTATTAACTAACTTATAGTTAGTTGCAGAAAAGTCAAGTAATAGTTTTCTTTTGTATTCCCTACTGTATTAATTAATTACATTTTAATTAAATGCATTTAAAATTTAACTACTAGTTATCTAAATTACATTTCGCTTTAATACAAGTTATGATATTAGTTCGTTAAAATTAATAGATATCAAAATTGCTGGCAGGGTATCTATAAAGGTTTAGAAATATATTATTTATAAACGGATTGACAAACATATACATATGTATGTATAAACTCTTATCTAATAACATAATAATGAGAACACTAAACAAATATAAAACATAAGTATTCAATCTGCTTTTCCATATAATATACATTCAAAATTTTATACGCGTCTTATAACGACAACTTCCCTCCATCCACCATTTTTCAATATTTTCATAAGTTTGTGTCTTCACAAAATAATTCGGTTCATGCAACCGTTTACATAAATCACAAAATGGCGAATGGAACTTTAATTCGTAATACTGACGCCACCAAAAATATCGCATATATTCTTCGGGTCTCTCCGACAGGTATTTAAGATAATTGGCTAAATCTTTTGGAGTCTCATAATCCTCGACATTGATATAGGAATGTGGTGGTAGAAAGCGTTCATAGTCGACTCCACCATAAACTACAGGTATGATATTTCGTTGCATTATATTATACACTTTTTCTGTTAAATAATCAGTGCAGAGGGAGTTTTCAAAAGAAAAATAAAATTTATAGTTTTCATCTAAAAGTTTATTACATTCGATCGAGCCTGCATGACATCTGCAAAGTAAAGTATTTTTACATTTTATAAAAGAATTTTATTTAATATATTACTAAACACACCTCTTAGATCCACACTTTCCAAATACATCAACTTCCATATATTTTCGCAAAATTTTAGCAAGTTTTTCTCTTCGCGATTGTGTTTTACAGTTTGATACAAACCAGGCCGCCATTTCTGTCTTATGCGGCCAAAGCTCCCATATGGTTGTATCATTATAGCTATCGGGAACCGATCGCCATCGAGGATATTCAGCTGGTATGATACGCATGCCAGTCTCTTTATCGGCAAACCAATTGTATGGCCACAATATATCCGAATCCATGCGATAGGTCATGGTTAAATTATAAAAATTTCTTTCATCACTTAAACTATGTTGAGTTGCACAGGGAGATTCCATGAGAGCAAAAACATATAATTGTTGCCAAGATCTGTATTTAGGTATGAAATTGTAAACCGGAAATTGTCGAGCAGTATGAAAAACAATGGCATCATACATGTCTATAAATGGCAAAGTATCCTTCTGATTAGTCACTATACAATTAGACACGGGACATTTGATATTTTCCCGAAAAAAAGAGGGATCGTTGAAGTCATTCGGTAGCCACCAACGGTTATTTCCAAAAAATGCATTCCACAACAGAATGTAACGTGTTCTATTTGTGTTATTTTCGGTAGATGATCGATCATAACTTTTTACTAAAAGATATTGATTAAATTTCGGTACTGTATGTTCGATATACAGCCAGTTTATAAAACTAACAATACAAATTATACTAATAGTAAATAAAATTCCCCCGACTTTACATTGTTTACGGTTTATTACATTTTTTGAATACATTTTAATTTATTGCTGTTAAATTTTTATCCACCACAAATTATTGTGGTTCCGTTCTTGACATTAGCGCAGATTTTTACCAACTGAGTGATATTACTATTTAATTTTTTCTATTTACTTTTCCCAACTTGTAGTACAAATGTTGTTTAGTGAGTAGGAATGCCAAACGGTTACTTACGATTCCCGAATTACGGGAAGTTTTTTAACAAAATCCCAGCATTTCAAAATCGCGAAGTTTATGTGCATTTCCACTAAACTTTATACATTATGAAGTATAGTTTTTGTTGTACATATTTTCCCAGATTCATTATATAAGTATATATCTGTATAATAATACTTCTGGGATGAACCTTGTTTTATTTGTGCGAAAAAAATCCCGGAATTTTCAAAAATCAATCTCGATTGGTATCCCCTTTCCTGAGTATTCGCTCTGTTTCAGCTATTTGTTATCGGTATTTTCAACAATCAAAGTTACCGTAAATGTTTATGTATACATACATACCATAATAAAATTGCATATGTCCAAACATATGAAATATTTTACTCATTTTACCACTCATCCATCAGTTAAAATTTTAAATAAAAATACTGATAACAATGATAAAAAATAATGTAATAAAATTTGACTAATGTTTGTAAGTTATTATTATAAAACATGGTTGTTCTTTCGATTCATTGGTTTACATAGACCCCATAAAAACTTTCGACAAAAATTTCTTTCTTTCCGCATTGAAACATGTATTTTAACAAAATAATCTTTGACCAAATTTTGATTATAATCAAACATTTATAATCTTTTATTTGTAGTCACAATAGCTCAAGTTTATTTTTTTACATTTTATAATGATATCGCCTTTACTTCTACAACCAGTTTTGGAACATTGTTGTGTTTCTAATTCAGCAATAGTTATACATTGATTCACTGGGACGTATGAGTTCTTAAACAAATATCAGCTCATATCTAGTAATTATTTGTCGAATAAAACGAATAAGTCAAAAACTCGAATAATTGAATACCCTTATATGTATACTAGCATACCCTGGATGCTTCGCTACCCTAACTTAAATTAAATACATACAAAATTTTGTTTACTTTTATAGAAAATTAAAATTGATTAAACATTTTTTAATGTTTCAGTTTTATACGTTCAATATCACGTGATTAAATTCGCATTCAGTAAGAAGGTTGTATTTTTAGTTCCATTCATTTAGCTTCTACATTATAGAAAATTTCGAAAGTACTATTTGAAAAAAAGTACTATAAAATACCTCTAATAAATTATCATTTAATCAAAAATTGTATGTTTCTGTGTTCAATATTATATACAATTCAAAAAAATATAATTTTAATGAATGAAAAAGTACCAAAAGTCCCTTTCAGTAGATTCTCATTCACTAAGGTTCCTACATTTTAAATTTTATTTTCAATATCTATCGTTCAATATCGTAAAAATATCAAAAAGTACTATCGGAAAAACGAAAAAGTGCAAAAATAATAAATTCTCATTTAATAAGGACCGTATGTTCCGGTTAACCATTATAAATAATCTAAAAGGTACCATTTGAAGAATAGAAAAATACCAAATAGTTCCCACTTACAGAATATTATTCAGTCAAGACCATATATGTTAAAGTTAATGTTCCTAGGTTGAATATTTTAGAAAATTAAAAAAGTACCATTTATGAGATAAAAGTACTAAAAAGTTCACTCTTAAAGAATCTTATTCAATGAAGACCGTGTATGTTTAATAATCATGTGTTTTGAATTCATATTAAAGAATATACAAAGAGTATCATTTGAAGAAAGAAAAAGTACCAAAAGTGGAATAAAATTTACCTAAGTGGAAAGTACTAAAAAAAGAATACAATTTTCCCCTTTTCGCTTAGAAATATATTTTTTCGAGAATTAAGTTTACAAAATGTTCCGTATTTAAATCTATATCACAGATAAAACTCAAACGATTCAAATCTGCATTCATTTGTTCCAGAAAAATATGCTTTCAAAAAGTACCAAACAATTTACTCGAATTTGGTCCTATATAAGACTTAGTACTCGAATTCCAAAATAATATACCAACCGCTTATTTTGTATGAGTAAATAAACTACTTTTTCAAATTTTATAAAAATTGGCTCAATGAGTTTGAATAAAATTAAATTTCTCGTTTTTTCCCTTTTTGGTATTTTTTTCCCCAGTGAAATAGCAAAAATTTTATTACAATAAATATTACAGAGTTAGTCCGTAATTTAATAGGAATAATTCAATAAACCGAAAAAGTTTTCTTAATGTGCTAAAAAAAAAAGTACCATAAATACAGTTTTCTCCCTTTTACACCCAAAAAGGACTGAATTTTACAAAAGTACGAAACAGGTGTCTCATAATTTTGGGAGATGTATCCAAAATATTTATAAAAAGTGTATTATGTTAATTAGTTCAAAAGTTATAAGGGGCCAAAAAAGGTACCAAAATCACCTTTGTTACACATTTTTACCCCTTAAAAGTACGAATTTCAAAAAAGTACCAGACACCCATAAAAGTAGATTCAGGTACATTTAAAATTTTTCTTGTATCACTAATATTGTGTAAGATAATTAAGAAAACCTGTTTTACCCGTTTTTTCCCCTTTTTACCCGTAAATGTACAAATTTCCGAAAATCCCTCCTTAGTGGATCTACATAACCAAAAACACATCTACTGTCAAAATGTCATGATTCTAGATTCAGCCGTTTGGGCTGTGCGATGATGAATCAGTCAGTCAGTAACGCTACTCTTTTATATATAGATTAGGATTATCAATCATAACATGTCTGTTCTATTTTTACTAAAATTGGAAATTAAGTTAAACTAAAATCGAGACTATAATACACACTAAACAAACTCACAATTGCACTGTGGTTTCACCACCTAACCCTAAACTTTGGAATAAGCTTTTACTTAATGTAAATTTTATATTCATTGGACTCTCCTTTGTCCTATTTTAGTCCTTTAAACTTTTTATTTTACAATATTATATGACTTGCCAAAAAAAAAATCGTCGAAGCCCGTCTAAGAACTTTATGTATATTTTAATGCAACTTCCCAATAGCTCAAGTTTATTTTTTTACATTTTATAATGATATCGCCTTTACTTCTACAACCAGTTTTGGAACATTGTTGTGTTTCTAATTCAGCAATAGTTATACATTGATTCACTGGGACGTATGAGTTCTTAAACAAATATCAGCTCATATCTAGTAATTATTTGTCGAATAAAACGAATAAGTCAAAAACTCGAATAATTGAATACCCTTATATGTATACTAGCATACCCTGGGTGCTTCGCTACCCTAACTTAAATTCTCCATGCCATAGTGTTATTTCGAGAAAAATATGAAAGAATACATTACCACAACTTTTTAACAAAAAGTAATTTTTTTATTACAAAAATAAATTAAAAAATTTTAACTATAAAATAATGAGAACATTAAACAATACATGTTTTGTAACGTTTTATATCAAATATTTACAACAACAGAAATCTCTTAATTACTAAACAATTCGTATATTGGAATTCAAAATTTTAAACGTGCCCTAGAACGACAACTACCGTCCATCCACCATTTTTTAATATTTTCATAAGTTTGTGTCTTTACAAAATAATTCGGTTGATGCAAACGTTTACATAAATCACAAAAAGGTGAATGAGATTTTAATTCGTAATATTGACGCCACCAAAAATATCGCATATATTCTTTGGGATTCTTCGCTAGGTACTTAAGATAATTTACCAAATCTTGTGGAGTCTCGTAGTCCTCGACATTGATGTAGGAATGTGGCGGAAGAAAACGTTCATAATTGGCTCCACCATAAACTACTGGTATAATATTTCGACGCATTACATTATACACTTTTTCTGTTATATAGTCCGTGCAAAGGGAGTTTTCAAAAGAAAAATAAAATTTATAATTTTCATCTAGAATTCTATCACATTCGGTCGATCCTGTTTGACAGCTGAAATTAATGGGTTTTAAATTTTATTAAAGAAAATAGTATTGCGATCTTCGATCTTCATTTAAGTGTATATTACTATGCATACCTCTTTGGTCCACACTTTCCAAACACATCAACTTCCATATATTTCTGTAATACTTCAGTTAGTTTCTCTCTTCGCGATAACGTTTCACAGTGTGATACAAACCATGCAGCCATTTTTGTCTTGTGCGGCCACAAATCCCATATAGTTGTATCGTTATACCGATTAGGAACCGAACGCCATCGAGGATATTCAGCTGGTATGATACGCATACCAGTTTCCTTATCGAAAAACCAATTGTAAGGCCATAATATATCCGAATCCATGCGGTAGGTCATGGTTAAATTGTAAAAATTACTTTCAACATTTAAATTATGTTTAGTTTCACAGGGAGATTCCATAAGAGCAAAAACATATAATTGTCTCCAAGACCTGTAATTGGGTATGGTTTCGTTAGCCGTAAAAGGCCGAGCAGTATGAAAAACAATGGCGTCATACATGTCCACATGAGGCAATGTATCTCTCTGATTGGTTACTATACAATTGAAGACCGGACAATTGATTGTTTTGTGAAAAAATGTGGGATCGTTGAAGTCATTGGGTAACCACCAACGTTTATTTTCAAAGAATGCATTCCACAGTAGAATAAACTGGGTTCTATTTGTTTCATTTTTCGTAAATGGTCGATCATAAGATTTCACTAAACGATATTGATTAAGTTCCGGTACTGTATGTTCGGTATATAACCAGATTATAAGACTTATGTTACCAACTAAAGTTATAGTGAATATTACAGTTTTGATTTTACATTGTTTTCGGAATATTGCGCCATTATTCTTTTGATAATATTCTTTTGGTTCATTTTTATGCAAGACTAAAGTTTCTCTTTCTGTTCTTGACATTAGCACAGGTGTTCGACGACTGAATTGTGTTATTCTTTTATTATTTTATCTCTACTTTACCGAATTCTATCTGAAGCATTACTCACTTAGCATTTTAGTATTGTTCCCTGAGTCAAAACCACTGCTTACGCTCTATTTCAATATTTTGTTATCAATTTCTGTCAATACTGAAAAATACCTTAAATGTTTATAGACATTATTATGTCCCAAAATCTTAACTATATTACTTATATGGTGTCCGTCCTTTTCTTAGAATTTGGTATCAAAAATAGATAACATATAATATTTATTTCTAGATTGTAAGTTATATTTCCCAAAGTTTATTGTTATCGGTTCTCTATTTTATTTTCGAAAAATGTGTAAACACTAAATGCAATATTTTTTAGCGGTCTGCAATTTTTCAATAGTTCAGACTAGACTTCTCTATATAGTCCAGACTAGTAAATAATTATAAAAAAATATTTCATTATTAAATATTAAATATTTTTATTATAAGTATAATATAATGAGAAAATTGGACAATACAAATCTTATAAATTTTCATACAAAAGATATACTATTATTTTTACTAATACTAAAACAAACTCATAGTTATAATCATACATATATACTTTTTATATTACACATATTTTCAAAATTTAATACGTGATCGAAAACGACAACTTCCATCCAACCACCATTTTTCAATATTCTGATAAGTTTGTGTCTTTAGAAAGTAATTCGGTTGATGCAACCGTTTGCATAAATCACAGAAGGGAGAATAGAATTTTAAATCGTAATATTGACGCCACCAAAAATAGCGCATATATTCTTCGGGTCTATCCGACAGGTACTTAAGATAATTGACTAAATCTTGTGGAGTTTCATAGTCCTCGACATTGATGTAGGAATGTGGTGGTAAAAAACGTTCATAGTTGGCGCCACCATAAACTATTGGTATGATATTACGACGTAGGATATTATATAATTTTTCTGTTATATAATCGGTGCAGAGAGAGTTCTCGAAAGAAAAATAGAATTTATAGTTTTCATCCAGCATTTTATCACAATCGGCTGAGCCTTTTTGGCAACTGAAATGAGAAAGTGTTTTGAAACATTAATAAAAATATGTTATGTATGTAAATAAATTACAAAAATGGTTAGAATTTAAGAAATTTAATAATATTTATTTCCCTGATTTGTCCTTATTTCTATCGATCAATTTTATCAACAGTAGAGAAAGTTTCTTTGTTTTAGTGATTTTTCAAAACAAAAAAAAAAAAAAACAGATTCAGAAGGTATGCTAATTTTTGCTGATACTAAAGTAAAATTAAGTCTAAAATTAATTTATAGAAGTATAAATAAAAAACAATATTTCCATGTTTGCTTTTAAATAAAAAACAATTCGTTATTAAAGAAATAAACCCAATTGTTTAAGAAAGCATAAGACTTAAATATACACAAATAACAGTGTTTTTTATGTTTGCTTTAAAATAAACAAACAATATTTTGTTTTAAAAAAATAATTAAGAAAATAAATTCAATTTATTGAAGAAATTATTGTGGAAGAAACTTGCATTCGACGATTTGAAATACACGTTTGTTTTGACCCAAGGACGAAGCCTATTGGTTAAAATCGGTCCATTATTTCACCTAGACCCCATACAACTAAACCCCCCGAAAAGGGCTTTTGAGCTCATAATTATGTGTAATATAAATGTATCTCGATGAAAGTTCGCAAAACTAAGTTTTATACAAGCTTTGGTGACCTTGCCGAATTTCGAAATCGGACTTCATTTGACCCTAGCCCCCATACAAAGCCCCCTTCAGAAAGTGTCTTGAACATCCACAATTCATTTATTAACACTGTTATAGCAATGCAATTTAGCACAGACAAATATTATATAAATACAAATCTATCCAGCCCATTTTATCGGGATCTGTCCACATTTGCTCCTATTCCCCATATAAAACCTCTTTTAGAAAATTAGTTTTTCGTCAATAAATTGCTTAAATAAATCGGAATCAAGGTAATATTCAAGATAAATACTTTATTATGAAAAATAAATAACATTTAATATTCGTAACTGGTGTAAGGTATCATATGGTCGGCCACGCCCGACTATTAGGGATGCCAAACGGGACTGGCTTTTACAAATCCCGGGATTCGGGATTTTGAAAATTGCAATCCCGGGATCCCGGGATTTTTCGGTATTTCGGGATTTTACGGGATTTCGGGATTACATGAATTTAATTATTTTATATATGAAAATCTTTAAATCATCATATTTGTAAAGAAAATTGTTTAATTTTGTGGAAATTTAACAGACAGAAGATATATTTAAATTAAAACAATCCAATTAATTCCAATTTTTAAATAAAAACTTTCAGAATTGAATAATTTCTGAAACTTTTTAAATACATACTTACTTCCTAAATAAAAATAAATATCAAGTTCCGAAATTAGACATAAGCACTTTTTAAAACCTCATACTGTTCCATGTGAACTAATAATTATAACAGATACCAATTCAATTATTCGAACATCAATTTAGAACCTATTCTTTGAAAAATATTTGGAATTTTACTCAAAATACATATTAGTTTTGGAACATATTATTATATTCGTAGTATTAATTTAAAATTTTAGGTGCATTCAGAACAAGGTAATTTACCTTTACCGGTATCATTCAGATTTGTAGAAAGTTAGAAATGTAAAATCCTCTAGTATTGAAAAATAAAGTTTGTATTCGACTGTGCCGAAATTAAATACCCACCATCAAAATATTGTAATGTATTGATATTAATATCAGCATCAATGTGATTTTCAGAGGAGGTCCAATTAGGTTTTTTTGTGTCAATTTTGTTCCAAATTTGCAGCCCAAATAGAATGAGTCTTCTAACTCGTGTTTTCAGCTTACAGACACAGAATGTGTATACTTTTTGGGTCGGTCTACGACCAACATTGCAATGTGCTAACAAGTAAAAAGTTATAGTTGGGCGAAGCCTACCATACCCTACACCAGTTATAAAAATAAAATGTGATTTATTGTTCATAATAAAGCATCTAAGTTGAATTGTACCTTGCCTCAGATATAATTTAGCTATTTTTTGTTGAATAAAATTGTGTACATTTAAGTCATATTTCGAAGGGGGCTTTGCATAGGGGCTAGGGTCAAATGAGGCCGCATCATCAAAAAATACATCAGGGTCATGAAGGCTAGTATAGAACTTGGTTTTGCAGCTTTTTGTCGAGTTACGAGTATATTGAACATACATAATTATGAACTTAAAAACCCTATTTGGGGGGTTCAGTTGTATGGGGGCTAGGTCAAATATTGGACCGATGTTATCCATTTTCAATAGGATCCGTCTCTAGTACAATAGAAGATCATGCAAAATTTCATTGAATTATCTTCAAAATTGCTGTAGTTTGATTACAAGGTTTACACGGACGGACGGACAGACGGACGGACATAGCTAAATCGACTCAGAAATGATTCTGAGCCGATTGGTATACTTTAAGGTATAGGACCAATATTATTGTGTGTAACAAACATCAGCACAAACCCAATATACCCTCCCCACTAAAGTGGTGTAAGGTATAAAAACGAAGTGAATAAATAAATTTATATGTGCTATGTGTATGGACTCATACCACTTTAAAAAATAAAAGGTTCAAATATGTATAAAATTAGCTCTGCGGAATTTTGTTTTGCATGAGTCAAAAATAAAATAAGATCGTAATTTTCAAATTAATGAAAATTATGGCTCAAAAAAGAAAATAAAAACAGTTTTTTGAAACAAATCCTAATCCCGAAAAAATTTTATTTCCAAATCCCGGGATTCGGGATTTGCCAATCCCGAAAAATCCCGGGATTTTCGGGATCGGGATTTCGGGATTGGCATCCCTACCGACTATACATTCTTACTTGTTTTAATTTGTATATATTTAAGCAATTTAAGGGGCTATGGGGGAAATATAGACCGATTGCGATAAAATTTGATGAAGTGAATTGTGGACATTAAAGTCAATTTCTGAAAGGGGACTTTGTATGCAGCTAGGAACAAATGAGGCCCCACCACTACGGAATTTGGCGTGGTCAACAATGCTTGTATAAAACTAAGTTATTCTGCTTTTTATCGAGATAAAAGTATATTTAACATAATTATGAGCTGAAAAGCAATTTTCGTGTTTACTGTTGTATGGGGGTTAGGTGAAATAATGGACCGATTTTAAACCTTTTTAAATAAGCTTCGTCCTTTAAAAAAGTGTATGTGCCAAATTTCATCCAATCCAAAATGAAAATTGCGACCTGTACTTTGCGCACTTTGCGCTTTGCATGAATAGTCGGAAATTTTTAGAGGTTATCCCGGATTTTGCTCATATCTCCGTTATTTACCTTATGGCAAACTTCTCACGAAGGTGAAGAGCAAAACTAAAATCGGTTGAGATACAACTATTGCAAAGTTACTGGCTTAACATCTTATAAACAAATCAAGGGATTTTAAAAATTAAATCAGATTCAGATAGTAGAGTTTAATAGGATTCTTTAGTGTGACGAATGTTTTTGGAGGTCTCAGTTCAAAAAAGCCGAATTTTGGATTATGCCAGTCTTTTAGTAAATGAGCGATATGGGTGTTCAATATCGCAGTTCTTTTTTAACACTATTCTCCCACAAAATTAATATGTAGTTTTTTATTCATAACTTATACACACCTTTTTGGTCCACATTTTCCAAAAACATCAACTTCCATATATTTCTGCAAAGCTTCAGTAAGTTTTTCTCTTCGCGATAGTGTTTCACAGTGTGATACAAACCAAGCAGCCATTTTGTTCTTGTACGGCCACAATTCCCATATAGTAGTATCATTATAGTTATCGGGAACTGCACGCCATTGTGGATAGTCTGAAGGGGTCATACGTAAACCGGTCTCTTTATCAACAAAAAAATTATATGTCCACAATATATCCGAATCCATGCGATAAGTCATGGTTAAATTGTAGAAATTATTTTCATCACTTAAAACATGTTTAGTTTCACCGG